CTGTTAAACATCCCCATTGACCATTCACACCCATTTATATGATATCCACCCTTGTGTTAGTGACAAACATATCTTGTCTAACATAATGAAGGTGTTATATATACATGTGCATCTCTTTTACTCAATTGGATAGTTGGCATTCATGGTTTCAATAGTTTTTTCTTTCATGTTTGATGAAAAAATACTAAAGAATTGTAGAAAAAATAATTATGTGTCGTTGTACGTTTTACCAGCTACAAGGGAGTCCTAATCCATTACCACTGATTTTTATTGGAAAATAATGACATCAATTATCTCAGGGTTGTTTTCAGTGTAAATTATACAAGTTTATATGACTATTCTGATTGAAATATTTTGGAGAAAAAAATTCTATGAATATATGAATTATTTATTATGTTATTAAACTTGAAAGTGTTTTTCTTAGAAGATTTTTGTTCAGGCTGTTTGCCAAATGTTATTCAACGGATTCTGGAACCTTGCTTAGGTTTTGCTACATCTTTTGTTTTACTTCTAATGTGACTGTAGCAATGAAAAAAAACCTGAGTTATGATATCTATGGAGACTCTACAGCCAGTAAACAACTGGATAAGCCGTATTGAGACCGGAAGGTGACCGTAGATTTTCTATTGGTTACTGTAGAAATGTACCAATTTCATGGGAATACAGCCAATGTATAGTCACCATTGAGCAATTAAATGTGATGAGGTTTTATGTTGTGCCAACATGTGCTGTGCTGTGTTTTGTCGTGATGACATTGATAAGTAAATATGCCTATTGTTCAACACATATTGATTGTAATATGGTAACAACCCCACTGGCCTCCCAAGAGTAATACCATCAATGTACTTTCTACTTAAAAATTCCCTTACTTCCAATATCATGTGACTCGTACTTAAATGGGAAAGGTTAAAAGTTCAGGATCAAGTATCAAGCAAATATTGTCCAGGTACTTTGAATTCAGTATATATTCCTACATGTCATAATATTTTAGTGCCATTTAGAGTGTTTGTAGCGCCATCATTCTGGTTCTTTGAGTGTGGTTTACTCTATTACATGATCCCATATGTGGAATTTCTTGTCGTGTAGAAGTAGGGATGCTAGAATATTATTGGCGCCATTTTTTCGACTGGCTTTTGTGAGAAATGTCAAACTTTATTGAATAGTTGATAAGATGATGTAGGATTTGTCAAATTTATGGTTTGAAATTTTTGTTCTTAAATGAGTTTGACATGTTTCGCAACCATTGCTTGGCAACCATTGCTTGGCAACCATTGTCTGCCAATGATTGTAAATGACATGGTAGCCATAGATTGCAATCAAGAAAATCTGATCTTCTAAGTAATAATTTATTTATCTTTAGCATACTGTTTTGAATCATTTTTTGCCCTTGGCACATGAGCTTAGTGTTCACTATATTTTATAAATGGTTGTAAAATAATTACTTAAAGAGTTGTGAGCACCTGGGTCTATAAGGCTTATGAACATCAATGCTTTGATTTCATAGAAAATCATTTGTGGCAATATTGATTTCAAAAAATGTTTTGCTTTGGATTGCTTATATTCTACCCTTTAGTTTACGATTTAGTGGTCTACAGGTATTCACTTCTATTTATTGCATATGAATAATAAATGCACCTGCCCTAGCTGTCTAGTGTCTAGACCTTTTAAAGTCAATGGTCTGAACCATTCTATGATTTTGAGGGAGATGTATTTCCCCCTCAGGTGATTAGGTGGAATAAGTCACATGCAGATAGATAGATGTTTAGTTTTCCATTAAACAAAGTCTCATTATCCGGTTATATAGAAATGAGTGAAATGTTGACTGTCTGTAGCACTTTGAAGTTGTAACCCCAGTTTGTAACCCTCTATATATGTAACCCTATTGAGTGTAACATCCCATTGTCTGTAACCCCCATTTATATATAGCATGACACGCTCATCCACATAATATTAACTGATGATCAAAAATTGATAAAACATTTTTCCAGTGATTACTCTGATTGACAAGCATATCAAAAAAGTAATTGCGAAATTGACATTTTGTCACGACGTGTAATGGGTTCGCTATTAAAGTGATTAAATATAAAACTATCATATTGTGTGTAAATATGGTTGGTATACTGCTGAAATAGACACGCCATGTTTTAGATACGTTTGTAAGACTATTGGAGGATCAATCATTCCTCTTGAGTATATTTACTGGTCTTGTAATTATATTAAAGTGTCATGCCAGATAAATAAGGAATGTCACGCTTTCCTAGAATCTGAGAGTAGGTATTGAACTCGAGTGCAAGACCTCTTGTAAGACTCAGTTGAAACCCATGTACTTTTCAACTCACGATGATCAAGCACATTTTCAGTTGTTTCAGCACTGATGTTTTTTTCAAATGATGTTTTTATATGCAGAATCGGGGATATCATTCTGTTGATCTGAGTTGACAAGGTTGGGATATGTTACTCTATTAGTCTTGTTAGCTCAGCTCATTTGTGGCTAGCTGATTACCATAAGGTTATTTGCATATCATCAGAAATTAACTTTAGCAGTTGTATTAAGGCTGAATAAAGCATGCAAACTAAAATACAGATCTAGGGCAATAAAACAGAAATATTAGATGTTAGACTCTTAGATTTATTACACACTAGGTGCTATATTTTCATTTTATAGATTAATAAAACACTACATTGAGGAAATAATGAAATATTCTCCATAAGACATAAGCCTTAGATTGAGAAAATCAGTTGAAGTTGTCCATAAACGGAAAGGTTTGAATAGATATTGAGAAATGGATAAACCCATAACCTTTTAGATGAGCAGTTTTATTTTCTTGATTAAATTGACAATTTCCTAGAGTATAGATGGGTTAATGGGATCTGCAACTATTCCTCATTTAGCTGTGAAGTATGGCTTCTCTCAGGTACTCTTTGAATAAACCTGGAGTATCCCACACAATGGTCCTTTAGACACTTTAGAGGTCTCTCACGCCATCAAACCTTGTGAATATTTAATCAATTGTAATGAAGTCAATATAGTTAAGTTACAGGATGGAGAAGATATATTTTGGATGTAGGAGGATTGCAAATATTGGAAAATAGATGTTTTTATCTAATTTGAAAATTGCTATATCGACTTTTGCCATTTTGCTCTGCTAGGCAGGCAGGCATGCAGGTGTATGGCTGGGTGGGTGACACAAGATATTTTGTCATCAAGAAAGCTATTCATCTTTTTGATTTGAGTTTTCACAGAATCAGGAGCAGATTTGTGCCAAGATCTAATTAGGTTTAGGGCATGTTGGGCAATTTACAAGATGGCCATTTTGCACTTCAAATGCGATATTTATAATGATGTTTAGATCACTGTGTGTTCAATTTATGGAAGAATATGTACAGTATTTATGTAGGAAATGATGATTAAAAATAAGGCAATTGAAGATTTATTATATATGTGAAAAATATGTAGGAAATTGTTGAATTATTGAATATAAAGAAAGTGAGTAAGTATATTTTACATATGGAGAATATGACAAATGATTGACTCTGAAAGTAAGGTACTCAGACACTATGGTGCTGCAGGATTAAAAGCAGATCCAAAAGAATCCTAATGATGATATATTGAATGGATTACCAGCTAGGATAATGTCATCACCTTCTCCTTGATTTACCATACGCCTAAATCTATTAAACACTTTCCCTGTATAAGACAATGAAACTACAATTCCAATATTGTACACAACTTTGCAGTTGAAGCAAATACCTTTTTGTGCTCTTAGTCTACTTCTGTGCATCAATTTGGATAAAAGCTAAGCATGATTAATTAGCGTGACAGCTATTTATTACAGTGTTTCAAGCATTAATCTGCATATATGGTTACGTTCTACAGAACTGATGATTAAAAATGGAAATATCATGACACTGCTATAACATCTGAGACTCAATAATGCTCTAGAGCTTATAGCAATGTTTTGGCATCATAACACAGATTAAACCGTGTTGGTGAACAGTTTTTGCTTGTGGGGGTATCTGTCGATCTCGTCAGTAAGTTAGACAGACTGCTAAGATGCAATTGAGGAATTGATCAAACATTGATTGTTTGGAAGGACACAGTAACAATAAAGCAGACCTATTCACTTGTACAATTACAAAGATCAGAGCGATATTGTTGGTGTTAATATTGACTATTGATCCTTTGTTGGGAACACACCTGTGGATGTATGTCAAACAAGATGGACAAGTTATCGATGTGTATTCATTGTTGATGTAACTTATAAACAGTGCAAACGTTAATTCATAGCAGATTTCTATAAAGTCAAACAAGCTAGTACTATAATAGGACATATTTGACAAGATCAAAGCCTATGAAGTATATAGATGATTTATTTTGTTGACATTACTAAATTACTTGATTACAACCCTGGAAATGTTACATCAATAAGAAGTTCCAAGTAAATGTATTGAAACAGAACACTTATTAGATATTGGATAAAATTAGAATTCCCGGAGAATCTGATTTGAGACTTTCAGGATACACATCTTTACCGAGATAAGGACTGACATTTACAGAGTTTGCTCTGGAATGAATTGGAATGCCAATATTTGATCAGACTTTGGGCGGAACAAATAAAAATGTAACAGTGACTTTTATAATTACCAATATTGCACATAGAGGTGAAGATGATTTAGAATTGAGAAGGAGCTTAAGGACATCTCAGTCCTTGAAATAATGGGTGATGTTTTTTTTCATCTACTTATAAAAAAGATAAAACTGTTCAAGATGATGATCGATTCATCCAGGCATTAAAGTAATTGCTACTTATCATTTGTATATACTGTTGACATATACAGGACAAACAGCTAATTTCCACTTTATTACGACTGTTAAAGATGATCTGAGCAATTCTTCGAAATAAGCCTCATCAGGGTATGACATGGCAAAACATTGAACTCGATGGAGATTACATGTAGCCTATAGGAGAAATCATGATAAATGATGAATTTATGAGCTTCCTGTGTCATGGATTAAAATTACTCTTTATATTAGATGTCTTCGAAGGACAAATGAGCTATCATGGATTCATTGCAACTACAACATAGTTCTCAAACATGGAGTGATCAGTCTGAAGAACATGAATTAAAGCAAGAGCCTATTCAGACAAGACGTAAACGATATTGGAAAACACGTCATAAAGGAAAAAAGATTTTACCATTTGATGCCTGGGTATTTACTAAATGTTGTGGAACAGGTCGGGACATAGTGAGTCCCAGCTACGGTGATATTCCACCCTGGCCCAATACGACTGGTTTTCAAATTGGACAAGATTTTAACAGAGTAACGACTGGGTACGATACCTCAAGTTGTAGCTCATTGGAAAGCCTTGAAAGCCCAAATAAAAAAACATTTGAGAGACGTCAGAAAAGTATCACTGAGGAAATGCATCAGTCCAGCTCTGAGGAGTCTCTAAGTGATATCATATCTGATATAAAAAACCAAGATGAACCACTCCAAACTGTTGACCGTGAGATCTCATATACTAAAACACAAGAAGAAATTCTTGTAAATGCTGTCAACATGTTTAAAAAGTGCAAAAAACGAACTACTGATGAAGTGGTACAATCTGCAGCTACTATGTTTAAAACATACAGTGTGAAACGCAAATTAATGCGGAGGCAAGCAAACTTGGATAGATCATCACACAAACTGGAAGTTATTGGAAGAACAAAAACTTGTAGTGATATTTTAGCTGAAAGCCTCAATAAACAAAGAAAACTTCCATCTACTGATATAATTGCTAAGGATTCTCCCAAAAAGAAAGGTAAGATTAAACAAACCCCTCCAAAAATTCAAATCAAACTTGAAGATGGGGAATCTTCTCCAAAAACTAAACCAACAATTCCAAAATGTAATGGACACTTGAAAAGTATGTTAAAGTCTGTGAATACCTCAAAGGAACAAATTGTTGCTGAAGTTGTAGAGAAGTCAGTATCAAAAAGAGATGTAATGAAATGGAAATCAAATTCTGATGCAGGAAGGCAGATGGGTATGCAAAAAGTGTTGAGACTTTCGGATGGTGAGATGAATAACAATCAGGACAGTGATTTATGTCTTGGTGACAGCAACGCAAGGAAATTAGGGGACTGTTGCCATAGTAACAGCTGCCTAGACAGCTTCGACAGAAAGGCTTATCGTATGGTCAGTAATACTATGTCTTCCATAAATAGCAGTATAGAGCCAAATACCACTGGGACCAATAAAAATGAACAATCAGCTTTGATCAATGAAATCGAAAATCATAGTAGAAGAACAAACACTGTAGGTCCAAATAATGGTGAAACTCAAAACATTGAAAGCATCAATAAAAATGAACAACCAACATTTGTTAATGACAATGAAAAAATAAAAAATGATAATGAAAGTAGTAGATTAATTCAAAACAGCTTAAAACAAACTTGTATTGAGTCAAAAGAACAGAAGGTGAGGTTTAATTCTAATGAAAATCTCAGTGATTCAGATATAGACCATGGGTTTGATAATAATGATCAGAAAGAGAAAACCTCCAAAACCATGTGTGATACCCTAAAGCCAATTGTCCAACTTGAGGTGTGTAATAGCTTTGATAGTGGCCACATGACAGATGTTTCACAAACCAGTGTTAGTCCTCTCAGTGATGATAAGACTACATGTACAACAAAACAAACCTCAGACACAGGTGGTAAGAATACTGAGGACGTTGTGACAATGCGCCATGGAAAGTATAAACGGTTGAACAAACTGGACAGTGCTATATTTGAAGTTACTGCTGAGGATATACTAGCACAAGATGTAACATGTAGATGTAAGGAATATCAAAGTATATGGGAGAGGTACACATCTGGTAGTGGTCTCAAAAATGTAAAACCATGTATCCATGATGCTAAACAGATTAATGAACAGAATTGTACAATTATAAACCCGTCCTATGTTAGTTGTGTCCAGTATTCATGTAAATCTGGAATAGTAGAAAGTAGTCCCCATTTTATCAGACGTGATTCAGACAGTACACAAACTATGTCAAATAATGATGATAGTTCTGATACATTAGTAGATAGCAACTGTAGCATAAGTAAGAGTGTTAATCCATTTGGTTCTCAAAGTACTTTGGCGCATGTATCTCGTGTGCAAGACAACAGCAGTGGTACACTTTATAGCTATGGTGACCTTACAAGTAAAGAAAGCTTACAATCCATTGATTCTACCAGAGAAAAGAAAGAAAAAGACAAACTTCCTAAAGGAACAAAATATCCCAGTGCTTGTAATAACATTGAACAGCAAACTCATAAAAAACCACAGGAAGACAAATTAAAAAACATTTCCCATCAAAAGGGTTTCTCAATCAATTCAGAATTTCTGAAAAATATTGATATTGGCTTTGCTGAGGACTGGGAGCACAGTATAAGCATATGTCAACCAGTTGGACTATCAGGTAACAATGATAACTCAGCTGCAAATACTTCCATTGCCCCACATGATTTATCAAAACAACATTTACTTGCTAATGAGGTGAATGCTCGATTGAAAAGACCAAATCAAGGTTCTAAAACAGATAGTGACATAAGTTCATCTGACTGGAATGATACCTATTTAGTTAATACAATTATGAATGATGACAGTCAAACTTCAAGTCTGATTACCTTAGTGGATACCCAACTCCCAATAAATCACCCAGCCATAATCCAGCCTATATTAGTTAATGCTAGGCAGAATCATACATCAGATAACTATGAAGAATGTCATGCTGGACCACAAGGGCAGCCAACTGTGTCACCATCCTCCCCTAGTGATGAGGCTGTATCCCGGGAGATCTTCAAGGCTCTAGAAAGTCTCACAAAAGACAAAGCATTATCGTCTAAATGTCATGCTAAGGCAAATAGGAAAGCCGTTACAATAAATTGTAGTCTGAACCGGAATATAGACAAGGATATGAGAAATCCACTTGAGTGTAAGATCCTCGCAGAAACAAAAGAAGATATTCACAATGAAATAGACTTAATGCCATCTTGTTTAAGTGAAGATATAGAGCTTCTTAAGGAGAGAGGCTTGCCTATTGATTGCGTGAGAAAACAATATAATGTTAGTAAATCAATGCCATATGTAGGTGACGAACCAGGTAGAAACAGTCGATCAATCTCCCCACAACATGACACTCTCTACCAATCAGTGCTGACTGGTGATCTTACTGATAAAAATCATCAGATTAACCCGAACCATAAATCTGACTTTCCAATCCCTAGAGGGGTCAGTTTGAATATCCCTAACAACAAAACAATCCCAAAAAATAGTGAAATCAATTCCCAATCAAGTGACGGTAATATGACACTGAGCACACAAAGCATTTCTGGGGATAGATCCCATTGTTCTTATAAGCACGTTTACTCTGGGTCTGGGATCAATGGACATGGATTAGATAATGTTGTGTCTACACAGCCTATTATGAGATTGAAATCCAATAGGCCTGAGCCAGCAAGCACGATCAATGATACTCTCAGGACATGTACTTTCCCCATCAAATCGACCTCAACTTATACTGACAATACTTACCCAAACCCATCTACTTTAACTCACTCTAACTGTACTAGTCTACTTAATGGGAAAGATACAACTGTTGCCATGCAACCGATCCCAGGTGAACACTCACATCAAGAAGATAATAGATTAACGTTCTGTTCAACTGGTGTTGTTACGCAAAAATCGTCCAGCCAAAATCGTGTCATTGGTCAATTGAGTGAATGGTTCTTTAAGCTGCAACAGGCGGATTGGATGCCTCTGAGAGCTCGTGTAAAGCGACAAACTAAACTCATCTCAAAAGTAAGACAATCAATTTTCATAATATCGTGACAAATGTAATTGAAATGATTCAATAATCTAATTCTTTTCTCACATTCGATAAATAATAGTTAGACTTCCAAATTATGTCATTTTGTGTTATAATTCATGGCTTTTTCAAGGAAAAATTAAGATCATTGGAGCAGAGGTGCATTGATCAATGGTGCAACATATGCCTTGGCTCTTTTAATTATTTGGGTTATTTTTTTGGTGTGCTAGTGTACAACTCAAGTGAAATATGGATTTAAGCGAAAGAGGCTGGGTTACGAATTGCATTGTCATTTTTGTAGGTTCGCATTATTCTGATGGATGATTTATATATTTTCTGATATATTTTCAGAAGAATTTGCCCTCCATATTTATGTCTTTTCACTTTGTTGAATAGGGACGAATGGTTGTGGGTACTAGGTGTGGCTATTCCCCGTGGGTATTCATACGTCATAGCTTGACCAACTTAAAGATGTAATAAATGATGACTAGATTAATTGTACCTAGAAGTTATTTTATATTCATTGCCATGGAGATGCAATTTTGGAAATCTCACTGATTCGATGTATATAGTGCAGCAGTGATTGCAATTAGATTAGTTTCAGCGGAACTGAACAGCAAATCAAGCAGGAACATTTCGTCGAATTGAATCCTGTAAATCGTGTCATCTTTATTGGGTACTTTGGTTTTATGTGTTAAATGCCGTCCCTAATGGAGTGCATATTCTGTGTTAGCTTTGTGCGTTATTGTAAAGCCATAACAATTTTCACTTTTAACATGGTGCAAGCTAATAAAGCAGATATAAACTTTTGGCTATAATGTCATTGCCACCCATTATGTGCTTTATTTTCACTATGTAGCCATAAATAAGGTAGTTTTGTTGCTAATGTGTTTATGTTTACTACTCCCTTGAGATGGATATTTGTATGGGTTTTATTTTTCAACTTTGCTGTTTCCGGACAAATGGTTATGTCATCCTTGTTGTTTTCTGGACAATTGGTAATGTCATCTTTGTTGTTTTCTGGACAATTGGTTATGTCATCATTGTTGTTTTCAGACAATTCATTGGTAATGTCATCTTTGCTATTATCAAACAATTGGCATGTCATCTTTGCTGCTTTCAGACAAATGGGTATGTCATCTTTGCTGTTCTCTGGACAATTGGTAATGTCATCTTTGCTGTTTTCTGGACAATTGGTTATGTCATCATTGTTGTTTTCAGACAATTCATTGGTTATGTCATCTTTGCTATTATGAAACAGTTGCTCATGTCATCTTTGCTGCTTTCGTACAATTGATTATGTCATCTTTGCTGTTTTCAGATGACTGGTTATGTCATCTTTGCTGTGAATCATACAGATTGTGAACCATATGTGTTTTGTCGACTAACATTTTAACATTAGTATTCAGTTCATATGTTGAAGGTCAGTCATTCCCTCAGGGGCTTATGTCCTATTTAAAGGAATAAAGTAGATTGCAGTCCAGGACTAATAGATCAAATAAATAAACAGAAAGATTTGCTGTGATATTGGCAATATCTATCCTGACTTTTTCTGATATTGTAAGTAATTCTTTGACAGAGAAAAATATATTAAGATTTGATAATTGGAAAATACCAATATTCACTTGTGGATTTCACTGGTAAAGGGAGATAGCGGGATTACTCATACATTGAAGTTTTTCTATTAGTTTCTAATAAAGATATTATCTTTCTTCCGAAGTTAGTAGAAATATATCTTTGTTCCTTTTCTCAAGACAAATGGATTATACCAATGATTATAGCTGTTTTACCATTTTAGTACATGTATGTACATTTTCAGTATGGTTTCTGCCTGATGTTATTTGATAAATTAGCATTGTTTCATAAAAGTTTTGATTTATTTCTTTATTTTGCTTGAGCTATTCTTCATTAATAATTTCACCGAGGTATATTTGTAAGAGCAAATTGTCTGAGATTTTTCGATTAATTCTATCATATTGTTAGTGTTAAGTTAACGAATAGAAGAAATGTTTCTTTACATTAGCAATTGTATATAAAATATTAATTAGCTAACGAAGTAGACTTGCCCTTGGGAAAACAAGAGGGGGCTTCTTTTGTCTGAACAATTTCTAGAACAAATATTGAGTCAATATTTTTTAATACTGTGTAGGCCTACCGGATATAGTATTATGGGGATTGATACATTGACTGAAATTAATAGAAATCAGAAACAATATAAAGTAACGTATCCCTGATTTCACTATTTCTAGAAATTAGTGATATTCAAGATTGATTCCAATAGATAATTTGAGTGAATAGAGAGGTTTCGCATAATGTTTTTAGGTCAACCTATCTAAAATCCATAATGCATTCACCAGATTTATGCGTAGCAGTTCAATTACTCAGATGCGAGTAGGTAGTTACCAGTTTCGCCACCAGGTGGCTGATTTGGGGGAAATAACATGGCAGGGTATTACAAAATTCCCTTAAACCTGAATATTCATCAGTTTTAGTGGTTCACTTTTCATATTACCCTTATGTATGTGATAGACATACAAATTAAAACAGGTCCAGTAAAAGCAAATATTATCTGCCCAACACAAGAAAAGATATTTCACTTTTTGTGGATTTTCAACATTGGGTCTATGGGGAATCTCCCCGACCTAGAAGTCACATTTTCAAAGAAAATTAAATTTTCAAAGTTGATAAACTCTTTTCAAAACCACATATCTAGATGTGATTTTATTATTTTACATGTAGATTCCAAATATGATTGAATTGTGAATTTTTAATGATGTAAATCAGGATTATTTCTACTCGCATCAAGGATATTAAAACAAGATGTGATTGCGGATACGTTTTAGCTATAACCTGTTGTGCAAAACCTCTCTATTATTCTGAGGAAGATAATTATAGAAGAACATTCATTTTGCTGGAATTGTAAAAGAACCTTGGACATCACATTATTTTTTATCAAACTTTTATTTCTATTTTAATTAAGGAATGTATTATGTATTAATGGTGCCTTGATGTAGTCTTATAGCCTTGCGCGATAACTCAAGAATAGCTAATTAAAGGGTATTGTATTACCTGATTAATAAATGTCCATTTGAAGTTATAGGTTCTTATATTCAAAGACTATAGTGTCAGTAACCAATCAATTCTCCTATATAAAGCAGTTGAGCATGCCTAATTGTCTTCATAAGGAAATAGCATCCCAAATAATATCACTTAGTAAAGGTACTGTTCCATTTAGAAAGGATGGACTATTAATAGAGAGGTTTCACATGATGGGTTATAGCTAAAACATTTGTAACCATATCTCATTTTAATTGAACTACAACATTTGTAACCATATCTCATTTTAATTGAACTACAATGCATAAATCTGGTGAATGCATTACAGATTTTGGATACGTTGGGTTAAAAACAGTGTTCGATGAAACCTCTCTATTTTGAAGAGGTATACATAGAGCTTTACATTATATAGCATTGCAAATGTGGCATCCCCAGTCTGAAGTAAACTCTATTTTGTTTATATAGAGCTTTGCATTATGAACAAAGCATTAAAAATGTGACATCCCCAATCTGAAGTAAACTCTATTTTTATATAGAGCTTTGCATTATGAACAAAGCATTAAAAATGTGACATCCCCAATCTGAAGTAAACTCTATTTTTATATAGAGCTTTGTATTATGAACAAAGCATTAAAAATGTGACATCCCCAATCTGAAGTAAGCTCTGTTTTGTGAAGAGGATGAAATAGTTGAATTGCAAATAATAAACTTGCTTGACTCATCAGTTGCTCTAATGAAATTAGAATTAAATGAGACAACAATCTAAATTTTTAATTCATTATTTCATAATATCGTGCAAATAGACTAGCTACATTAGGTCCCTTTTCAAAATAAAATATGAATTTGCATTAATAAAATGCATTGTGTCAGTCATTTTATATTATCTTGTATTGTTTTGTCTTTCATTTGATGTTTGGAAAGATACATGGTTAATTGATGAGTATGGATGGCATTAAGTAATTGTCAATTATGCTATTAATATTAGGAAAAAAGTAATGCGTTTCTATTGACATTTCAATTAATAATTAATATTATCTGAGTAAATGGGTACAGAGTTGTCACAGTGACTTCGGATTATTTAATCCCATCTTTTTTAGATTGCCTCTATGATAAAGTCAAATTCAACATCGATGTTCTGAAAAATACAGAGCTTTTCATGTTTCATGGGTTAAATTCAACTGTCGTGTTAAAATTGCTATGATTATCAGAATGAGGTGTATATGTTATATCTCATATGGGAATATTTCTCATTAATTATTCCTGGCCTTAGCCCTCAAATCTGTTTCTCAAATGATATTGATCATATTAAGGTAATAGCTCTTGTAGCTCTTGTTATTGTGCTACTTCTAAGACAGTCAGCAGGAGGGTCAGTGCACTCATGTCAAAAACAAAGCTCTCCATATGTACAGTTACTCAGTACAATGCTCTTCATGGTAAGATGCTGTCATACATTCAATCAGTATGGTGCTCTTAATATAGATATCTAGTATAATGCTCTCATTGTTCTGTCACTTGGTATCATACATATTTGATGCATTCATTAAAGAGGGGTGTTGCCAATTGCCATAGGAAAGCAAATTCAAAAATAAACTGGACTTTTTTTGCATGTTGAGCCATACCACATATTCACCTATACTATCTACTTACCAATGAAGAAGCCCCAATCACAGCTGACTGGTCTAATTGTTTTCGTATGTTCATGTGACCAAAAGAGCTCCATAAATAGGAAATTCTTAAAGAAATTAAAAACTGGCTTTGAATCTGATTGGCGGCCTGGCTTAAGGCACATGCCCAGTTTGCAGATGGTCGTGTTCTTGTATCTTGATCACATTTTCCCTCGATCGCCGCAAATAAACTCAATTGTGTTCTGACAGTTGGTTATTCGGTGATTTTCTCAATTATATTGGTAAGATATGTAAGATATTATATTACTAAT